AAAATGCAAACGAGTAAAATTATAAGTTTTAATAGAACGAATGCTGACTTTTTAATGTTATTTCTACTCGAATATATCCTTTTTAATCGTATTCTTTTATATGTTTAAAATTTTTTAGTCAGAATGATGACAACTTGTCGAAGTTTTTTCTCAATATTTAGTTAATTGAAGAAATTAATCGGGCAAGAAATTTTTCAGGGAATTTAATGTTGCAGAAAAAGAGCGAAATAGGTACAATCAAATGATAACGAAAGGATTATCATAGTATATATTTGCAGTTGTGCCACAATCTACGTAGGACCTGCAGCTGCACCACTGCAAAATTAATGGCTGCCCTGGAGGACTCTGCTTTATATATTTAGACTAGTCTCTAATCTGATATATAATACTGGGCTTTAATATTATTAAACTAATTCTGGTTTAAAAAAATCTGATTTGGGTCTTTTTGAACTAATTCTGGTTTAAAAAACCTGATTCGGGTCTCTTTGAACTAATTCTAGTTCAAAAGAATCTGATTTGGGTCTCTTTATACTAATTCTAGTTTAAAAGAACCTGATTTAGGTTTCTTTGAACCAATTTTGGTTCAAAAGAACCTGATTCAGATCTCTTTGAACTAATACTAGTTCAAAAGAATCTGATTTGGGTCTTTTTGAACCAATCCTGGTTCAAAAAAAACCCATTTGGGTCTTTTTGAACCAATCCTAGTTTAAAGAATTCAATTCGAGTTTCTTTAAACCAATCCTAGTTCAAAAGAACCTGATTTAGGTCTTTTTGAAACAATTCTGGTTTAAAAGAACCTGATTCAGGTCTCTTTGAACTAATTCTGGTTAAAAAGAACTTGATTTAAGTCTCTTTGAACTAATTCTTGTTCAAAAAAACCTGATTTTGGTCTCTTTAAACTAATTATAGTTAAAAAAACCCCAATTCAGGTCTTTTTGAACCAATTTTCTCAAAAGAACCCAAATTGGGTTACTTAGTCAGAGTTTTAAAACTTTGACCAAGCCTCTAAAAATTTAAGAGAATTCAAATTCCAGGGTCAGATTTTCATGACACTTAGTCAAAGTTTTAAATCTCTGATCAAGCTCTGAAAATTTGAAGTAATACAAATTTAAGTATCAAAAAAATTTAATACTTGATCAGAGTTTAAATTTTAAATTTAGTTTTCGTGACTATTTATTTTCTTAAAGAAGAAGAAAATATATAGTTGCAAAGATTAAATACTCTATATTTTGTATTTCTCCTAGACAATTTTAATTCGTTAAACATATTTTGAATTTCAAAGTTGTTTATCTACAACTTTTTTTAATTGTCAGAAAAAATCTATATAGTACAAAATCTATGTGATATTTGTACTGCAGTTTTTTTAATAACTAAGATTTGTGATTTATATATAGAGCCTAGAAAAATTTCTCAAGTAACCCCATTACTGAGGTTAGCACTTTATATAGTTTGACTAGTTTCTAACCTGGTATATAGCACTAGGCTTTAACATTATTAAATAAAATAGTTTTTAATTATAGTCAGTCTTCTTTAAATGCATATCATTAGGACTAGCTTTAGCACATGCATTTAGAGAGGTATTGCATTTAGAGAGGTAAAAATTTAAAAATATAATATTAGTTGGGCCCAAATGTAAATATGCATATAAAGAGGTGTTGCATTTAGAAGGGTGATTTGTTTTGTCTTTTCACTGTCCATTGCTTGTTTTTTGTTATTATTAGTATCATTCGTATTAAATATTTTTTTTTCAGAAGTTGAATCAAAACCTGAAATATCATCTCCAACTAATGTTCTATTGACCAAAGATCCCCACCTAATGATCTAACCAAAGATCTAATACCTAAAGACCTACTAACTGAAGACCCACCAACT